TGATCAAGAGAGTTAAAAATCACAGATTGAAGTTTGGCTTGTTATGCCTTTAAATTCTGTGGCTCATGAAGAATGATAACCAAATAGTGTGCATGTCATTCAAGCAGTGGCCCTTTCCTAAAGCTAAGTCATTTCTCAAGAGATCGTGTGACTGCATAAGCTCATCATTAAAAGCTTAGTTTTCTAGGCTTCACCTACGATTTCAAATTCAAGCAAGCCTAAGTTACTGTCATTTGCTCTAAAGACCATTTTTCTAAATCCCTTTGGATTTATATTATCTCTACCAAGGCATGGCCATCTTGGAAAAATATTACGTATAAGCAGGATTTGGAGGTAAGAAGGGGCACTTTGTAAGTTGTAAGGTGGATGGTGACTGCCCCGACCTTACTTCTGGTAATCCATATTACCATCCAGTGATAAGTGATTATATTTTTCAGTCCATTTCCACCTTTATGAACATACTGATCTTGGAAAATTATCTACTCATCCTCTTTTCCATTTCTGTTTAACAGTGATTCATTGGTTTGGACTGTAGAGCGCATCAGCTGGTGTTTACGAAGGTATTATAGTATCAGTGAGTCACAGAGGCATCTACTGATTCTCATTCACTCTTAGACAGAAGGAGTATGTAGCTTTCCTCCTCAGGGGAGTAAAGTATTACACCACTTTATAGCCATTGTTCGAATCATATAATTAAGATTTGATGTGATTATTCTTAGTTGACTTGGGGTTAGACAGACAATTCTTGTATTTGGTTTTGCCTTCAGATTTAATGACATGCAGTCTTTGAGAAGTGAGCAAATTCAATTTTTCTGGTCCTATTATATAGCATTATTAAAAGTACAATGCTGTGGAGGGAATATAGAGTTATGTTCTTGGTGAATTCATAAGGTATTGCCAGTACGGGTCTATCTGATCTAAGCCCTGCTCTCCTATTTTGTATTTTCCATTCTTTATCTCCGCTTTTCTTTTCAGAGTCTGTCTTACCTCCAAAGCAGAACTTTTAGGATTCATTTGTTTATTCAGTGAGTATTTATTGAGGAATTATGTGCCAGGATAAGCACTGGAGATGCAGTGGTGTGTACGATGGACATAGCCTGTGCACTCACAGAACTTACAGTCTAGTGCAGGGATTGGGGGGCCAAATCCAGCCCAATACCTGTGTCTGTAAATTCAGGGTTACTGGAACACAGCCGTACCCATTCATTTACATATTGTCTATGACTGCTCCCACACTACAGAGGCAGACTTGAATAATTACCACAGAGACCCTGTGGTCTGCAAAGCCAAACATGTTTACTACTTAACCCTTTGAAGAAAAAGTTAGCTGACTCCTCTCTCATGGATAGTGATGGAGACATTTCATAAATGCAATCTAGAGCTCCAAAGCCTTGCCAACCCCCTTGAGGAGTGTATATTCTCCAGAGGGCAGTGGGCTACTGCTGGAATATTGTAAGCAGGGAAAGAAACATGTTGATATATGAATTTTAGAAAAGTCCCTGTGGCTGCTGTGTAGGAAGTACATGTGTCAGGGTGAGAAGCACTAGGTCATAGTGGTTAAGAGTATGGACTCTTGAGCCAGACTATTTGGATTGAAATTTTGACTCTACTACATACTGATTCTAATCTTGGGTAACTTTCCTGTCAGATGTCCTGTCTATAAAATAGACGTGGCAATCATAGTACCTAACTCATGGGATTGATTAAGTTAATATATGTGAAGCGCTTTAGGACACAGTGTTTACCATCATCACTATTATTCCTATTGTAATCTTGTTCAGAGGTGAGGGTGCCCGAATTAAGGCAGCAGCAGTGAGGTTGATAGAAAGAAGTGGCCAGATGGAGGCTCTACGCAGGTGATAGAATTGACAGGAATTTATGATTAATTGGATGTCAGAAGGGTAGATAAAAGAGAATAAGAAGTTGAGGATGATTGCAGGTTTTGGATTTCATCAGTTGAGTGAATGGTGGTTTCAGTCCCTGAAGTAAGGAGACAGGCTTGTGATGTGAGGTGAATGATAGGTTCAGTTTTTGATATGTTAAATTTAGCTACTAGAGCTACTAGAGAGAGATGAATAGAAATGTTCAGGAAGCAGTTGCCTATGAGGTTTAGAGTTCAGAAAGGTGATACGGGCTGGGGAAATGGTTGTAGCCGTGATCACTATAAAACTGGTCACTGAGCTTGGAAGAGAATGAAATAACCCAACATGAGGATGGAGTGACAAATAGACTAATAACAGAACCCTGAAGAACACCGACAGTTGAAGATTAGACAAATAACCATTAAGTCAAAAAAAAAAAAAAAAAAACTTTTGGAGGAAAATAAACATGAATTTTTAATCCATTAAAATTTCCCTCATTGAAATAGTTGAATTTGAAAAATATTTAAATTTGCAATTTTGGTATTAGCATAGGCCAACCTAGACTATAGCATGTATTTCACAATTTGATTTCATGTTATCATATTCTGTATTCTTCTAATATTCAATTTCCTCTGTATGGAACATTAGGTAACTTAGTGGATGCTATGGCTTCTGGATGCTGACATCATATGAGCTGTTCAAACTACTTTTCTGTATTTAGTAACATTTCCTTACCTCCCTGTTTACCAATTCTCTTGAGCCTGTGATAGGAAAAACTAAAGTGGAGGAGAATGTCTTTCTCTTTTTTGTGTTATACTTGTTTCAGCATCAACAACTTGGAACCAGTTTGTTACAACATTTTATAATGATATCGCTATATTAATTTACAGAAGTAAGTATAATTTTGGAAGGAGCCAGGAGATAAATTGGAGAAACAAACACTTTTTCCATCATCAGAATCACCCCTTACCTCTCTCTTACAGTTATGCTTGCCTTATACTTTACTTAGTTAATTCCCAAGAGAATCTTCAGTCCTTCTTGAATATGATTTCCAGCAAAACAGCCTTCTACTCACTTACTCTGACCCTTAGTAGGGCTCACAGGTTAGGCTCAAGCTAAGTCCCTGAGATGTGCCAATCAGAAGGCTGATCCAGAGGCTTTCTCAACCCCGTACCACACATACCTGAACAAAGGCATCACATTTATACAATCAGGCTGTGTTGCCTTTTCTATTTAGGGGAGAACTTGTGAAAAACTTTGAAATGGTCCCAAAAGATGACTGTCTAACTCAGCTTTCCAGCTTATCCCACCCTTTCCTATTTTACAATCCTGGAAATTACAGAAAACTGAGAGTGATGCAAAAGACCCTTGTCCATTGAAATGCAAATTGTTCTGGTGGAATGCAGTTGATTATTGCCCTACGCAGAGTGACCAATTTAACCAGATTTGCATCCATTTGTAAATTCTTTGCAATATCCTTGATATTTGTGTTTGTCCTTTGGATTTCTTTTTGAACCAGTTGTAATATCTTACAGGTTCCTTTTTTAATGAGTTAGTTAAAATCTATGTCCTGTTTCCAAAAAAAATTATCTTGTTATATATACACATGTATGTTTATACATGCATATCACATCTCTAGAAAAATTCACAAGAAGTTGGTAGCTGTAATCACCTCTGCAGAAGGAAAGGCAGAAAAGCTTGATTTTCACTACATGCCCTTTTGGATGTTTTGAATTTTGCATTGCATGCCTATTTTTGAACTTTTGAGAATCAAGTCTTTGCCATCCCTTAACTACTAACTTCACATCTGAAATAACTGACTTTCTATAAAGATTTTTGCCTCTAGATAAACTACTAATAGAGAGCACCTACACATCAACATCATACTTACAGACTTTCTTTTGTATTTTTTAAGGCAAACTAGTAAACTTTACTTTTCAAGGTAGCTCTAAACCTGTAGAAAGATTTTGGTCGGGTGGTGCTAATTCTATGACTGTAGGGGAATCTATCTGTAGCTAATTCTATCTGTAGGGGAATCACACAGTGTTAGTGTGGAGGAAAGTGGCAGACCCATCAGCCTGTTTTGCAGTTGTTCTGTGTGCACCTTGCCTCTTCCCCAGCTGCGTCCTCTATAATCCCCTTGTCTAATTATAATGAGCAGCCCTCCCATTAAGCCAGTGATTCTCAGGCTTAGATGTATATTAAAATCACCAGGAGTGCTTTTAAAAATCGAAATGCTTAGACCAATTAAATCATAATGTCTGAGGGTAAGACACAGACATTGGCATTTTTCAAAGCCATCAAGGTGATGCCAATGTTGAGAAACAGTGTCTTGTGCAAAGAATGGTGCTGGCAGAAGCAAACGCACTGATCATATCTGACTGGAAGATCTGCATAGGTGATGAAGACGGTCCAAACAGAAAAGAGAGGCACCCTTTACTGTGAATGAATATCCTTGTACAAAGAACCTGTTTTGACCCATGCTGCTTCTGGAATGGGGCAAACTAGGTATGGGGGAGTAGTTTAAAAGCCCAAGCTGACTTAGTTACAGGTATTAGCTTTTTTTATACTTCTGAATTCAGATAAACTCTCAGTGAGTAAAAAATACCAAATTGGGACTCTGCATATCCCCGCCTTGTTCCTCTGCCATTTGGGGCACTGAGCCAGCCTGCTGACAGTGACATCCATCTAATACCACTGCCACCATATGGTTGTGCTACCGACAAAAGGTTATATTTATCACACACAGGCCAACTGGGAAAACCACATACTGTACAAACATGACCTATTAAGCATCTGTTTTAATCAAAGATTCTAGAACTTCTTTGCTCTAACCCTTAAAAACATGCTTTATTAAGGGGCCTTTGATAGAGAGGTAGATTTGTAAAGGGAGAAGTAAAAATGCATCCTTTCATTAATTTTGAAACAGTAAGGTGAGGAGATAGCCTATTTCTTGGTATTTCCTCTCTACTCTGAAAGCTATCTTCTAATGGGAAGTCCTGATTAATGTCCTGCTTGTATTCCAAACTGTTTTATTGTTGCCTCAGCCTTTTTTTAAACCTGAAAATTGGTCTCATGAACTCAACTGTGGTGGTTTGCCTTCATATACTCATTGTATATCCCCTCCCTTTTGTATAGGAAGACAGAGATGTCAATGACCCCATGCCCAACCGAGGCGGCAATGGACTAGCTCCTGGGGAGGACAGATTCAAACCTGTGGTACCATGGCCTCATGTTGAAGGAGTAGAAGTGGACTTAGAGTCTATTAGAAGAAAAAACAAGGCCAAAAATGAACAAGAGCACCATGCTGGAGGAGATTCCCAGAAAGATATCATGCAGAGGCAGTATCTCACATTTAAGCCTCAGACATTCACCTACCGTGATCCTGTGCTTCGCCCAGGGATCCTCGGTAACTTTGAACCCAAAGAACCTGAGCCTCCTGGAGTGGTTGGTGGCCCTGGAGAGAAAGCCAAGCCATTGGTTTTGGGACCAGAATTCAAACATGCAATTCAAGCCAGCATTAAAGAGTTTGGATTTAACATGGTGGCAAGTGACATGATCTCACTGGACCGCAGCGTCAATGACTTACGCCAAGAAGAGTAAGCACACATCCTCTTCTTTCTAACAATGGGGCAGCTGTTGTTTTCATAGGTTGTTAGGTTTAGTTAGATTGTTAGAATGGAGAAATTATTGATGCCTTTATTTCAAGGAAATAAGAGGATCTTTGAACAGCAAAATGGTCAGAAGGAGGCGGTCCCTACATTTACGCCATTGTATTGAAGGCGGGCTGTATAAAATTCCGGGGCCCTCTACATCAGTGCTATTCAAACCGTGGTCCCCAGACTGGCACTGGTCTATGAATTTTTTGTTACCAGTCCACAAGTGAGAAAATGAGCTTGCACCAGGATGTAAGTCAACTACACTATTAAATATGTTGTTTAGTTTAACTGACAATTTTTTAATAGCAAAACTTCCTTGATTTGTTGATTTTCATTCTGGAGCAAGTGCCTTATCTTGTTGTGGAACAATAGCAAACAGTAACAGTGTTCTGGGCATCTCGCATAATGAACTAGATTTATGTTTCCTTGAATTTTTTTCCTCAGTACTGAAACTGGGAATTGAAACACTTGACTATCAGCAAAAGGAACACTCAGATAGATAAAACTCTGACCTAAGCTTTCCAATTCTTTTCACGTAGTATGATTTTTAAATGAAAGATTTTCAGCTCTTAACTTTTGATGGATAGTGATTACTGAATGAACTCAAAACTTTTCTCTTTCAGTTTATTCAATAACTCGTTCTACTACTATAGGATCTACATAGCTTTCATGAATGTAGTTGGAAATTTAATTCACTGCTACTAGAAAACACGCAGAATGTATTCCTGATGACATACTGTTAGCATCATCTTAATTTTCAAAAGGTTAATACAGCAGGTGCTCATACCCCCATACCTATTCACATACACGTATCATGTACACACACACTCACACACATATACATACACCTGCTCACCAGCATTCTTTATGACCACTAAGTAAAATCCTGTGTCCGAAACAAAGCCATTCAATGGACTTTGAGTATTCCTGTACCTTTATTGGTAAAAGTGAGAAGAGATTAGTGAAATGTGCAAAGAAAATAGGAGTGGAAGTGCAGCAGGGTGATGGTGAGAGATACAACCTCTTATACAGAGAAGAGTCAGAGCATCTCCATGGGCTGTGAAGGCAGAATCTTGGAGTAATTTATTCCCAGTAGAGACTTGCCTAGTCATAGATAGCATTGTCAGATTTAGCAAATAAAAATACAAGATGCCCAATTAAATTTGAATTTCAGATAAACGGTGAAAAAATTTAGTATATGTTCCAAATATTGCATGGGACATACTTAAAAATTTTTTTAAATTGGATTTCCCAGAAATCCAATTTTAACGGGGTGTTCTGTGTTTTATCTGGCGGTCTTAGGAGATAAAGATGGCTGTTAAAGAGTTAGAGCTGCCATATGAGGCCCCTTTAGGACCCCTAACAGGATGTAGAGCCCCTCATCTAGAGTGCGTCTCAGTTATCTTCAGTGTAGCACTCAGATCCCTCATCTCGGTTACACAGGTGCTTTGCAAAATGACTGGTGGCATTCTCATCACTGTAGTGGGGGAGAAGGGAAGGTCTGCTGCAGGCCGGGACTTAGTATAAGGTACTGAATTCTCACAACCAAACTGTGAGAGAGCTCTTACCTGAGTGTGTGAAGTCTGAGGCTCACACAGAGTTGTGACTTCTTTGCATTTACCCAGAAGAATGGCAAAATGCCGAGTCACCCCTAGGTGGTTTGGTGTGAAAGCCCCTTCATTTCCGTCACTGCACACCTGAGGTACACTCTCTCTGAGTAGTGTACCTCAGTGCAGATGTTACAGTCAGAGGGTTAGCTTAGCAATTTGGAAACAGAGATTTTAGCACTTGAACTGTTTATTTAAAAATATGTCACTTAAAACACCAATATAAATATAGCTAACTTTTCAATATAAGTAATACATTAAGAAAATTAAACAATGTACAAGGCTTAAAGCAGAGCACGGGATTTAGAGACATCCTCTGCGCCTCCCTCCCTTAACCCCTCACATCCAGTCCATCAGCAAGGCCCCTTGGTTCTACCACCAAAATGTAGCCCAGATCACTTCTGAGGTCCGCTTCTTTCCTCTCATCTGCCTCCACCTGAGGCCATGCAACCATCGTCTCTCCTGGAATCCTGCAGAAGTCTCCTTACTGGTCTTTCCATTTCTACTCTTGCCTCTTACTATCTATTATTGAGACACAAATCAGTGTGGTCTTTTAGAAACCCAAATCTAAAACCATTCTGTGCCTTCCCATTGCACTTAAAACCCAAACTCCTAACGTGCTGCAGCCCCCATGCTGTGGCCCTTACCCACCTTGCAGACCTCTTCTTGCTACTATACTTCTTGCCCACGTAGTCCAGCTGTGCTGGCCTGTCTCAGGTCCTCTGCATATGCTTTTCCGTCCTCCACGAATGCTTGCCTTTCTTCCCACGACTGGCTGGCTTCTTCCCAGCCTTTAGGCTCACTTGCACTTCTCTAACCATGCTGTCTAATTTGCTAAGGCCCTACTTTATTCTCTATTACTTCTATTACTTCTCTTTAGCCATTTTGTTCATGGTATTTATCAAATTTTATAATTAGATATTGGCTTATTAAATTGTTTATTGGCTGTCTTTCTCATTAGATAAGTTCCTAAGAGCAAGAACCATGCCTATTTGTAAGCCTAGTAGCTGACAAGTAGGAACTCAGTAGTAGTACCCAGTTGGTAAATATCTGTCGAGAATGAATGAATGTATGAATGAAATCAGCCAGGGTTCAAACCTTAATGCCATCACTAGATGTGAGATCTCTGACCAGTTACTTACCCTCTCTAACCCTCAGTTACCTAAACCTTAAGACAGATCTAACAATACCAATCTCTCAGGATTAGCGTTAGAGTTAAATGACATAATTGACTACAAAAAGTCTTTTATTAGCCTGTTGGTTAGAAACCTAAGTATTATTAGCTGTTTTTACTGCTATGGTATTTTCTTCATTACCTTGTTGTCAACATTCAGATGTTTTCAGTTACTATGTAGCTTTGATAGGCTCTGTTGCTTTTTGGAAAATATGAATGTCACACATTGCCTTATCTACATCCTCTTGCTTCCACTAGTACCTTCCATGATGCTAAAGCCTTCATCTCCTTTAAAAATTTCAGACACACTGATTTCCATGGGAACCTCGCATCTCTGAGTCCTCCTTTCACCCTGCGGTTTCCTTCCCGTCTCCTTTCTTTCCTTCTTCCATGCCTTGCATAGCCAGTTGTGTCCCATGTTCTTTCCTCTGGCACAACAGGAGCAGTGCCTAGAAACAGGACATTGCATGTTTTTGTGTATTATTTCTGTAAATATTGTGTCTCCAATAAAATTAAAAGGCCCAAATCTATTTTAGTAAATGCTCCTAAGCCTCTCTTTGAAATCCTATACTAGTGATAAAAGTCATTTTTAATATTTCAAAATGCCCAAATATAATAAATCCCAGAAACTTTTTTAAACTGAATCCAAATTATTTTTTAAATTGGATTCTGTCTCACACTTAAAAAAAAAAATGAGACAGACTTCATTCCTTTTTGAACACTTACAATTCAGTGCAGAGTATAACATAATTTTCTAAGTAAAATTATTTATACTTTAGAATGTGGACAATCTTTGGAATTTTTCTCTAAAATAAAAACCAACCATGAATAAAAATCGCCTAAGTGTTGCATATTACCTAATATGCATATTAGCACTTGTCTGCTTTTACTGGCAACATATTGAAAACATATCGTACATCCATATTGTGCACATGAGGATGCACCCTTCCTCATCCTCATCCCTCATAGGGAATGTGCTTGGAGCGCCTCAGAAGCTGGCTTGCTTGTGGCTGGCTTTTTGCCGCTTCAGAACACAGGCCCTAACAGCCTTGTTCTCCTGCCTCTGTCTGTCATAGAAATGAGGCACCTGCATAGCTTAGAGACCAGGCTCGGGCTGTTTGTCCAGCTGTAACATCTGACACTGTGGTTAGCTTGTTCGTTCTTGTGGCTGTTCTGTAGTCTTTGTAGATGAATGTTCTCTTCCCTAGAAGCAGGAGGGAAGTGTCCAGCTGCTGGCATGACTCACACTTCTGTATGTGATAGCTTTGAATTACATTCACTGACTGAGTAATTTATTGGCTGTTGATTGCTTGTTAAAAGGGTAACAGTCTTTTCAGTGAACTGGAGGCCTACTTCTTTTTTAAAGACTTGAGCCAAGAATGACTTCACCTGCCTTCACACTTTTTTTCTATAAAATACCAATACGATTTTCTTCACAGTTCAACAGATATTGAGTATCTCTAATATGTAATGCACTGTCCCTGCCTTCAAGGGGCTCAGCAGCTACCACTAGGGAGAAAGGAAAGAATGCCATAATGTAAGGCAGAATGTAGAACCATTAGAAAGGTCTTTTAATAATGTGGTTCAGAGGAGTGAGAGGTCAAGTTACAGGGGAGTCGGAAAAGGATACTTTGCCAGGCATGGTGGCTCATGCCTGTAATCCCAGCACTTTGGGAGGCCGAGGTGGGCTGATCGCATGAGTCCAGGAGTTCAAGACCAGCCTGGGCAACATGGTAAAACCCCGTCTCTACCAAAAATACAAAAAAACCAGCTGGGCGTGGTGGTGCATCCCTGTGGCCCCATCTACTTGGGAGGCTGACGTGAGAGGATTCCTTGAGCCTAGGAGGCAGAGGTTGCAGTGAGCCGAGATCACGCCACTGCACTCCAGCCTGAGTGATAGAGTAAGAGCCCATCTCAAAAAAAAAAAAAAAAAAAAAAAGAAAAGAAAATGATAGTTGAGGGGAATACTAGGGAAGACCCTGAAGGATGCGTAGGGTGTCTTTAGGAAAAGGGCACATGAACATGTAGTAGAAGACATGAACACATAGTTCATGGATCCGGTTTCCTTGGATCTGGAGCTATGTGGAGAGAAATACAGCTGGGAAGATAGTAGGGCATTGGAAGACTACATGCCATTCACAGAGCCTACATTGAATCTG